GTTTTAAAAAAAAGGCAGACATTTTCTCATATTAAAATATGCAGAAATATCTTAAACTCATGTGATTTCCACCCCAGTATCGTTTGTGCATGAGAAAGTTGGTGGATGCTTGAGTTGGTTGGAAGTCAAATGACACACTTTTGGGTCAAGTAACTGATATTTTTGTCTTTGGATGTGAAAAGTTGAAGACTAATTTTGCAGAACATCTTTGAGTTGCATTAATTACGCCAGGAAAAGAGAAATATTTCCCCGCATTGAACAGATTAGTGTAATAGTGCAACATGTTGCAGATGAGCATGTGGTTTGATGATTCTCTTCAAAGATTCTGTGATTAGATTCTTTAAAAAAATCAAATAAGGATATGAACACATGCATCCGATGAGCAACCACCTGCTCCCAGAAAATATTCAAAGACATCTGCTGTCGTCAAACTAGGAACTTTGGAACCAAAAAAAAAAAGAAAAAGACCAAAAATTGGACACAGAAAAGTATGAGGTTTGTTGAGAAGTTCCACGTGGATTCGTTCAGGCCTCATCTTCAACATGATTTATTTGTTCAAAATTGGTGCTTTTCCCAACATTTCCCGACTTTCTCTCTAATAGGTTCCTCAGACATATGTTGGCTTCCTTCATACTTCTGCATAGATATTTGATGTTACGATTTGGCCGAGTTCATCAACCCTGTCACATTCAATAAAACATTATTTTTGCCTTTGTTGCATTGTTCTCTGAAAGCCCCATTAGTTCCCGCTCCCATTATCTGCAATCCGCATGTCACTTCTTGTTTGACGTTAGTAATATGTAATGTAATTTTATGGAGGCCGAGACAACGTATTTGGATGTTATTTGATCTTTTATTTTTTTTCTTGAGACCCATCTCTGTGCGTTTCGAGCCGTCTTGGCCTTAAGCTAATTATTGAATGTAATCACAGACACAGGTTAGAGTTATACAGTTACACTTCGGCTGAGGGGCCTCGTCATTAGAGCCATGAACTGAATGTGAACTGAACACCGACAAAAGGAAGTGTATTAAAAATCATTATTGAGTTCAGTTCCTAATTGAATAATAGGGCCTCCCTTGGTCTGGTGAGTATTTGTGTACGGCCTCAGGCTATTCGGGTTTCACGGTTCTGTTTTCATTGGGACCTCATGTGGCGAGTTGTGGCCTGACCGAAATATTCTATGTCTGTAAAATTGCGACTTTCTGTAAGCTGCATATGCATGCGTGCGCTATCAGATGGTAGTCGCAATATGGGCATATGCTGTGGCAGGACGTTGTCGAGGGATGACAGGTGGTTGCTGGGACATTTGCATAATTATGGATGTACCACATACACTTGTAGCAAGTCATAAACCCAGAGACCAGAGAGCTGAGAAATTTCAAGCGCTCAGAGCTTCTGCCAGGTGGCAAGACACTAACAGTAAATCTGCCTGTCGACACTCAGACACAACTGCAGATGACATGTGAACGCTTTACTTTCACGCTGACTGTGGCCAACGCATGGTACAGACACTAGCAAGGGGAAAACAAAGGTTTGCTGGGCGAGGTTATTTATTCCCCTCAGGTCTAAAATGTCACTGTCTGTGGCTATATTAATCTGAACTGGTTTTATATTTTCTATGATATTCATAAAATGGAGAACTTTAAATTAATATCCATTATATTGCCAAGTGTGGCAATTTGCAATTCGCCTTTGGCTAAGCCACACCCTAGAATGTAGATTGACCAATCACAGCGCAGCCAAGAACGAGCTCCCACAGAGGTCCGACACTTTTTCACAGCGCTCCATTGACTTTAACACAGGCGTCTCATATTTTTGGTCTCGGCAGGCTATTACCGTCGTAGTTTGATCAAAAATATGGTTAAATGTTGTGCCTGGGGCATTTGTAACACACATACGCGTTTCCCAGAGAGGTTGGAGGGGGGTGTGCGTTTTTTCCCCTTCCCAAACCGAAGTCAAATCCTGACAAGTGTCGTCTAGCACACGCTGCTAATAAATACAACGCTATACTCGCGTAGTCCGTTTGCTTTGTAATAACGATTATAGAAGTGAATAGAGACCTACCCAGCTTTGCATGAACAGTGTTGCTCCGTGATATTGTTAGTCCCAGCCTCCATCTCCATTAGTAGGATATGCGGTGGGTCATTTTTTGACTGTGACCGGTATGCTTTTGCCTCTATTTGGATGCCTTGTTGTTCCTTGCGTTTCACCTGTATGTCGTGAATATAGCCTTCGAGCGTATATTGCAGCCGCTTTTGACTACTTCTATCGGACACTTTATTTGCTGCTTTATAAAAGTTTGATCAAATTTCAGCAGGAAGAGCTGTCACAGCATAAGCCATGTTGATACCAGAGCCCAGATGAAGTTTGTTTGTCGGACGTAGCAACAGTAACTAAGGGGGGCGGGGCTTAGCCAAAGGCGAATTCACCTTTTGCGTTCCCTGGATGACATGAAATGACATGATTGCGACAGTGTTGTCATTTATAGGTGAATTTGTTCCTATGATGCATTATACAAAATTTCCAATATTCCTAGAATCAGATCGAGTAGCTTTCCAAGAATGTGGAGTCCAACAAAATGTTGTGAGTCATTTGAATCATTCGTTCAACCGATTCATTCAAAAATTCTGATTCATTCAGGGACGAAATAACTTAAATAATTCCTTCAACGGATTCGTTCAAACACGTATTCATTTAGTAATGAAACTAATTGGTACTTCTCAATTGGAAGGCTGCGCGTCCATCCTAGACCAGCTCATCTGAGGCTTCTAGACAAGACTTCTCCTCAGCATTAAACACTAGAATGAGGTGATCTAGAAAGTCTGCATGGCACGTCATGAAGGTTTTTGCTTTGGATACACTTGATGCATCCTTCAAAATATTCTGAATGAAGGATGCAATCGAAGGCCGCCTTCCTAGGATCCTTCAAATTGGGACGGCCTTTGATAGTGCTAGGTGATGTGACAGCCAAGATATGGAAACTTATTAGGATGCAGCCTTACGACTGAGTCATTGAATCATTCATTTAACTGTTTTGTTAAAAAATGCTGATTGATTCAGGAAAGTCATTGCTGTGTTTTGCAACAGTTATGCTGTCTTTCTTTTGAACAATTTTTTTTTGTTGGTAGAGCAACAATTGAGAAATTAATTGGCAATATTGTCTTATAATAGTAAGTAATAAGGCAATAATAAGTTACTCACTATTAACTTGTTTATCCAACTGAAAAAGCACAATTTTGCTACCTCCTTGTTACTCCAACAATTTCTCAAAAACGGATAAAGCTGTTGGTGCTAGTTCTAAACGTGCAGTTTGAGAATTAGTAACAGAGACTTGAACATATCTTAACTATAACGATAACTATAACTAGCAGGCCATTTTTTAAAGAAGACAGTCAGTAGAATATTGCACTTGCCAGAAATGAAAGTGAAAAAAAAAAAAAAAACGTTATAAAATTTTAGACATACTGTAAAGCAAATGAACTGAACTAAACATTTAATATTTTATAAAAAAATGTTTTATAAAATAATTTGGCCTGTAAAATTGCTATAAAATCAGTCACATGTTCAAAATTTGAAGTTGTGTTACATATTTGAAGTTGATATCATAAAAAAGGATTTAACGTACTGTTTCCATGGCAAAGCAGTGTTTAATTTCAAAACAATTTTCACAGAATGGACTTTGAGTGTTTAAGCTTCCGAATGCTACCTAATTTGTGATGATTACTAGAATATAGGGGTGTAACAATATATCGTGCCACAATATATCGCACTACAAAAATGCAACAATACGTATCATGGATAGTGACAATATGTATCGTGGATAGCCCCCCCCCAAAATAAAAATTACTGTGTGAGAAAAAATTCAAGTTTTCAGAGTTTTAGTGTCAGTACCACATTAAACTACTATATATAATGTTGAATATAATGTATAATAATGCAATGGGGGGATATTTGTGGGTCCTGATAATCCCAAATGTCTGATGTTACCAGTAAAAAGTGGCCGACATTATTTTAAATATATCTAGTCAGTGAAAGAGTGCAAGCAAACTCGTCTAAAATAATTCTGTATTTTCAGTTTCAGAATCATGAATATTTTTATTTTGGTGTCACCATTGTCCAAGCCTATTCATTTAAACCCACAATGTAATATCAAAGTTAGCATTTTAATCAATAGTACATTTTTTGTTAACCTTTTACCATATGTCTTTGAGTATCGCAATAATACCGATCATGAGTTCAGTATCGTGATATGTATCGAATCGTGACATGAGGGTATCGTTACACCCCTACTAGAATATGTGACGGGGGAACAAGCATACCAAGTGTCACTCTATCACTGATAGTGAACAGGTTAAAGCAATACTGTATGCCCTTAAAAAAAAAAGAAGCAATAAATATATACATAGGCCAGTGTTATTTTATGGTTACAGTTATATTCATTGTAGGTATATTATCAGGCATTTTTATATATAATGCTTTAAATATACAGACTTAATAGAAAGTGTTAGTAAAAAGTAAAAATAAGTCACGAGCACAGAGCCCTACAAGCCAGAGCAGCGATCTGAGCTGTGTGAGATGGGAAGAGTGAACCGGTATCTGAGTAATCCCCCCCCCGCCTGCCCCGCAGTTCAAACCCATTACAGCGCCGCAGCACAGGGACACCTCTGTCTCGCCTCTCTCATCTTCCTCGGAAGCGTGTGTGGTGTGCGCGTGCCACAGAACAAGCCCAGCTAAATGGTCCTATTGCCACCGCCTTTCTTTGCAATGCTCAAAGGAACTGGCTTTGTGTCAGACATAAATGTACTACTGTGTCCCTGTCACACTTTTGTGCCACTGAAAAGGGCCTTTCTGTAGGAAATCGAGCCGGAGTGTTGTGTTTGTTATCTGTGGTCATATGGGAAGGATGCCTTATTGCACCGTAGTGAAGATACTCCAGTTTTTGGAGTGAGATGCATGAAAATATGCTGTTAACCAGATCTTCCTCATCTCTCTGTTTCAGACATGCCCTTGCATGTACGGCGTAGCAGTGATCCAGCCCTGGTTGGTCTTCCCGAAGCCCAGCTTCAGCCAGAGGAACCGTCTCGTAAGAATCCCACACGCTGGTCCACCACGGCAGGGTTTATGAAAGCCAACACCACCAGCAGAACCAGTAGTCTAGAGCGAAAGGTGAGTTTTTTTCTATTCTATTTTTCTATTTTTATTTATAAAGAATATTAATGTAACTTTCTGACCTTGCTTGAAGTGCCCCTATTATGCTATTTTAAAGTTTCCTCATGTTGTTTTGGAGTCTCCATGTTCTCATAATATACATTTGCACATCACCACGTTTTCAATGATTCTCAAACGACTCGTCAGATGAATCAATCTCTCTAAATCCCTCCTTTCCCCGAGCTACTCAGCACAGCGTCTTCTCGACATGATGCTGTCCAGTATCCAGAGGAATCAGCTGCCGGTTTGAGGTTCAAGTTTTCCCTGGTGTCTGCGCGCGCAATACTGTACGTGGACGGGAAATATGATAATGTTTCATCTTGACGTCACGACGAAACGGCTTATGACTCGTTTGAAAAATTCATTTCATTGACTCACAGTCGACTCTTACTTTTGAAAGACATAACTTTATAAACGGTGCACTTTCAGATTTAAAACTGCAGGATGTTTTCATTCACTTAGAGCTATGTTACACACTACATGAAAGGTCACTTTAAAACAGGGGTCTCAAACTCAACTTAACTGGGGGCCGCTGGAGGTAGAGTCGGGGTCAGGCTGGGCCGCATCAAGTATTCCACAAAAAAATAGTATTCAAGTATTCCAAAAAAGGAGCACAACTGATCCAATCTTCTCAATATTTATTATTAACGTTTCTTCTGAACTGTTCCTCTGAATTTGAACATTCCTTTCTGTACATGATTGGTTCTTCATGAGCTGTTCTTCTGACAGTTGATGTTCATTTTACAAACTTTCTTTGTCTTTTCCTTATACACAACATCTTTGTGATACTTATTTTTGCTCATGTCCTTTTTATTTTCTTTATACAACACTAATATTATATTGAATGTTTTTTTTTGGCACATTTCCTTTTATTATACTTAGAAAAACAATAATTGCTTTTGAAATACAAATATTTGCAGTCATGTCTGCCCGTCTTATTGAATTCTTTCTACACATGTATAGTGTCTCAGGCAAATTACTGACTTTGCACAAATCAAAGCAAACCTTCTTATCAACCTGTTGGACACATATTACAAGCTCAAAATGATTATTCTCAAATTTTTTTTTTAGCAGGGGTCTCCAACACGTCGCTCGCGAGCTACCAGTAGCTCGTGGCCTGATTGGTGGTAGCTCTCCAAGGGCCCGTTCACATATCGCGCTCACATATTTTGCGCGCTCAAGTTCGTTATTTCAAATGTAGGCGCGCGGTAAGCGCGCTCATAATTTAAGCGACGCGCTCATTTTTTCCAGGCGCAGTAAGTTTGTACTTCGCGGTTGTCTATGACAACTATTGACAACAACGCCACTGTAAGCTGTCACGAGACTATCTATGGTAGCCCATAAGGGATACATTTAAAAAAAAAAAACGCGGCACATGCAACGACGGGCCGCACTAACATTAAACTTTAGTGTCAAGCAGGGGGCCACAAAATATCACCCCGCGGGCCGCGAGTTTGAGACCACTGCTTTAAAAGATGATGTTGTAACTACACCTATGGAGGGAAAATCATCTTTCTTCTTCATCTTCTTCACCATTTCAAACATTCGAAAGTAGCCATGTATTAGGCCAATATGCAAATAATAATAATAGCTCTAAATGGCGGTCACACCAAGGATTATAACTATAACCGTGTGACGCATTGGGCGCTAAGCAATCTCCATTGTTTCGGCTCCGTCCCATGGTAGGTCGACGGCACACAAGTCTTCGATAAAAATACGCCACCATGTTTGTCTCGGGCATCCGTGCTTCCGCTTCCTGTGGGATGGCGTCCACGACATGGCCATCTTACAAACAACATGTCAAACTAATGATCAAAGACTTCAGATTTTAGCCTAGGATCAGAGGATTCTTTTAGGATTTGCTAAATGTGTCTCAGACGGCCAAAGTCTAGGGTTAGGATTTTTGTCTGGCACAAATCGAAGCAATTTACACCAATTGGAGCATTTTTAGGACAACTCGTAAGAAGTGGCTTCCCTTTGCTCCGTCTCATTCGTCTTGAGATATTCTAGATGACCATTGCCCCTGTTCGTTGTTGACCTGGAACTCTCTTGGTTATGGAACCATAAGTCTTTGCTGTAAGAAGAATGGGATCTGCTTGCTTTGTTTGTTGCTTCCCTCTTGATTGTGGCCTCATTGCGATGGTCAACGCCTTGGGCTTTAAATGAATCAAAGAGAGGCAGATTCTCTGTTTTCCTCCCTAGTCTCCCCAAGGCAACCAATGAAAAAGAGGCCAATTATCCTTGCAAAATGGCTGCTCTTTTGCAGTGATGACAAGCCTTCAGTGCTTTGAAACAACAATATTCCAAATTAAAAGAAGGGCAAAGGGGAGGGAGCGAGGGAAGATGGAGTACTCCGAATGTGACACCGCAACCCTCGATGAGATTAGCGCGTCTCATGCCGTTCACTAGTAATCCTGTTTAAAAGCACTTTGCTTGTCGGTTTCTTCCATAATCCAAACACCACACTCTTATTTTAGCAGAGCAGAAGAATTAAGCTGTTATTTTTTACCTTTCGTTCTGCACCGGATCATTTATTTCTTGATTGTTTTTGGGGGATTTCGTAAGAAAAGCTTGAGGTGTTTGGAAGGTCTGTTTTTGGGTGATACTGTCAGATGACGATAAGCAACGGGGTGAATATAAATGTGCTCTATTTTAGCACCAGTGAATTCGTGAAATGAACATAAAGGTGTTAGTTCACCTTGAAGTAAGAATAGCTGGCGCTGAGAAGAAATGTAGCGTATTTGCATCTTGGCTGTTGGCTGATATATGCAGAAATAGTCCTTCTCAAAACTCGGTGGCTTTTTTTTTTTGGGATACATCTTACTACTTTCTTCTACATCTAACTTTTGAATATAACTATCTCATTTTATCTGGCCAAGACTTGCTGGTCTGGGGGTCAATGACTGTCCAAGATAAAGAAAAGGAAAAAAAACTAAGATATGTAGCCTAATTAAAAAATGCACATGTCAGGTTTTTTTTTTTTTTTCAATGTCATGTGGTGTAACCATCAAGGCAAAAGTACAATAAATAATATACTTACACCTAGTTTTTTGACATTTTAAAACCTGAACTATCCTCGCCATGTTTATTTATTTATTTATTTAATTAAAAATATGTTCATCATATAAAAGATGTATTTTAATCATTATGTGTATACATTGCATTTTAATGTATTTATTAGCCAGAATGTGTCTTGTTCCGTGTTTTTACAAAGCATTGTTTGGTCTTCATGGATATTTTCTCATATGGAGCGTAACATCTGTCTCTCAGTATCTCTTCCTGAACTATGAGAAACCTATAGGCCTCCTGCTGCATTTGGAGGCCAATGCCTCAATCACTCCAGCATGCTCATTCATAAGGCCATCTGTATGAATTCTTCACTCATCCTATGGGCCTTTGACCTGTTGTTCTTCATGTTCCTCGCTGTGTCTCTTCCTCCTCTATTTTATCCTGCTGTTTAATGTCAGGATTACCTATATAGATCATTTTACCTGCAGGAAAATCAAAATCACTTTGTGTTCCAACACTGTATGGGATCGCGGTTATGTCCGGTTGTGAATTGGCTCATGCTATAACCGGAAACTCGTTTTCTTCTTCCTCATTGTTCAGACTAGGTCATTAGCCAAGAGCAACGGTGCTCAGTGGGCTTTCTAGGCTAAAGCCCTGTGTGTCACAGGATAACCTGTTTTAGGTTTGCTCTAAAAACTCTTCAAATGGAGATTTGACTTGAGCTCCAGTGCCAGAGGGCGTTTGATTTCACCTTTGTGAAAACATGGAGTGTAACATTAGAGACACGGTGTGAATTAGTAGCTTGTAATGGAGCTCCTTATTAGAGAGAAATGAAATTAGCGTGCCCTATAAATTTAGGTGGGCTGAATGATATCATTGTTGGGCTTGGATCCAAGATGAGCTTCGTACACCATCCATTGTACAGTGAGTTTAATCTGGGTTTTCAGGAAGGTATTGCTATACCATATATTTAAGGAAATTGGTATTCATATTATTAAAACCCAGTCTGCTTTTGTGTAATAGCTAAGCTGGTTTAATTGTTAAAGTAGCTTCTTTTTAACACAAACACACACACACACACACGCACGCACGCACGCACGCACACACACTCACTTACTTCTTTGTTGTTATGTAATTATTGTGTTATTTGTTGGGACCCCCTCGAAAACGAGATGATACATCTCAAGGGGCTTATCCTAATAATAAACAAATTTGAACACACACACACACACACACACACACACACACACACACACACACACACACACACACACACACACACACACACACACACACACACACACACACACACACGCTTCGATAATGAAACTGGAAGTGAATTGTATGCATGAGTATGTTTTTGGGGTTTGCAAAAATGTAGATAGAAACATTTTTCCAATGAGCCTGTTACTTTTGTGGGTTTACTAACCCTTTAAAGTCAGCATGAAACCGAAGTTGCGGTAGGCTTTTCTTTCCTCTTGTGCCGTATAAACGAGTGAACCGCTCTGGGCTTGATTGTGTCCGTGAGGAATTGATTGGATGGCTGTGGTTTGCTATTGGCTGATCTCATGTGAGTGACAGGTTGCTCCGCCCACATCATCAGAGAAGAGATGCTGTAGGAGGGAGGGGAAGTTATTTGGAATAAAAATTATGAGGGCACATGAATAATAATAGTAAAAATAAAAAAATAACTACTTGTGTACTGTACACAGATCAATCATTTAAAATAAAAAAAAGTAATCTTCAATTTTATTTTCATTGTGAGTTTAATACCAGGTGTAAACGGCCTCTTTTATTACCGGCACTGTGTTTCCAGGCTAAGGATCTGGAAGCGTACCGCAGCCTGCCTCGGGATGGCGTCCCCTGGGCGTCTCAGTTTCAGAGGGAAAACGCCCGCTCCTCCCTCAGTGCCAACCATCCCATGGTGGACCAGTGGCTTGAGCGCCAAGAACAGGTACTGTCAGGAACTCCTCTGCTTTTACCGAGCTCAAAAGTGCCTCTTAACTCCAGTTAACCGCGTTGATCTCCATAAATATATTTATTTATTTGATTATTGGGTTTTTTGTTTGAGTTAAGAGTGGACTCAGGAGTCAAGGAGAGATTATTGAATACAGTGTTTCTATGGAAAAAGGAGTGTGAATGAGAGAATAAAGAGAGAAAGACACCCACGTTGTTGGGTGAGGATTTCACTAACCTTACAAAACGAGGGCTCCGGTCTCCATAGACGTGGTGGAGTGTCTTTGAAATTCAGCTCTTTGTCTATGTATCGGTGGAACTGTCTGAAGGCATGAGGGAGGTGTTTCACATTCCTCTCCCTCTCGCGGAGAGAAGAGAGAGAAAAGAAAGAGGAGAGGAAGGAGATTGAGATGTTTGAGGTGCCAGGCGTGCTGCAGGGAATTCACTTATTAATTTTCGCAATCGATTTTCTCGAACCGCGAGCATCCGTTTGACTCTTTCCCCCCACTTTTCTTTCTTCGACCCATTGAAACGGCTGTGACAGAGGTTCGGCTGCTTGTTTGCAATTCAGGTGGTCTCAGTTTCTCATTCCCCAGCAGTTTACAGAGACCCCCCCCAGCACCTCGAGGGCCCGTGACACCGAGAGTCGTGCATCATCATTAGGGAAGGCGTCTTGCGTGGAGGAGCCTCTGGGTTGGATGTCGGGTTGAAAGGAACAGTCAGTCAAGGCCTGAGCTCAGCCTGACAGACTCATTCATTTGAGCTTCAGTCTATTACAGCTTATCCGGACACCCCCCCACACCCGACCCGGGCTGGCTTTCTCAAGACACGCCATCCTAGCACCTCTGCCCTCTTTTCTTATTTCACCAATGCCTGTTTTCCACTCCTTTCCCCTCCTTTTCCCTCTTAGCACGAAGTGGTTATTTGAAGTGACAGGCAGATTTCAAGACAGATGCAGAGGTCCTGTTGTTATTCAAGCACGTTAATAAACACACACACACACGCAGACACACACACACGCAGACACACACACACGCAGACACACACGCAGACACACACACACACACACGCACACACACACACACACACAGAGACACAGAGACACAGACACAGACACAGCAGACACACACACACACACACACACACACACACACACTACTGTATAAACTACCGTAGCTAGTATTTCACCTACCTTTCGTAGTAGTGATGTGGTAGAATCATTGTTTTTTAATATATTTAAATATATATATGTTAGAGAAGTTTTTAATTTCAGCAAATGTTTGTCATTTGGAATAAGAGGGAGATAAATTACGCAATTTTTTATTTTTATTTTAAACCCTCCATATCAGTGTTATTTTAGTATCATTAATATAATATTATACTTTTTGTTCATATTTTGAATAAGATATTATTATTATTATTATGTTCACTTTAATTTTAGTTAAACTTTTAGTATTTTTTGTCATTTTGTATGTCTATATATTTTTATTATATATTTTAAAAATGTGTATAAATTTTTTTATTTAGTTTTAGTTATTTTTATTTACTTTTACTTTTTTATTATTTAAGCTAAATGAAAATTAGAAATGTTGCCTTGGCAACTAGTTGAAATAGTAATAACGAGTTTGAGTTTTTTTTTTTTTATTCATATAATAATCATTTTTTAACATGGTTTTAGTTTTAGTTAAACTAAACTAATCTAGATTTGTGTTTGGTGTTCTCAGTTGGCTGCTTAGAGTCTGGATATGTGATGTAAGATTCACAAATGAATCACTCTTTTGAATCAATTCTTTTCAATGAGTCAAAGTGGTTTGAATCAATGACTGTGAATGCAGCTTGTGAATAACTCTTTAGTTTTAAAAAATAATCTTGTAAAGTTTGTAAATTACAGTAGGTGTATAGTTTTGTCTGACAGTATGCAGTGCTTGTATGCTATAGAGCTTGCAACATTTTTTGAGCAGTTTATTCAACATTTCACAGCATAGTAAAACCACAAGGATATCGCAAGTCAAGCACATCTTTGTGTTTTACATTCACTGTATGATTATCGTCTCCACTGGCTTATCACGGAGTTCTAAGCAATTAGGTCTTTATTGCCATCTTAAATATCCATTTAATCTTTCATTTCCCATTCACTTTTATTGGCTCTAATTGTTTAGTTGCCTTCCCTCTTCACTGCAGACTCAGTTCGATATAGCCTCCATTCTATTTGCATAATGTTGTGGCTTCTTTATAGACCTTGAGTAAGCTGCTTAATTAAGCTTGGCTATTTTCTCTTCATGCATAGAGTCCATTGAGTCATGTCTCTCTTGTGTTATTTTGAGGGGAGTAGCATTACTCTGTGTGTTGCACATGGAGCTACTGCCTATTTTTATGATGATTACGTCAAACCAATGAGATCCCTACCCATGGTCACCTGAAATGAACAGCACACAGTAAAAGCTCCTTCCGCGTCACAAAGCACTTGTTCTGCATCAGCATGGCTCATCCGGTGGTGTTTTTAATTACAACCTGACGTGTCCCGCTTCACATTCCCACCTGGCGCTACTCGTACAGTGAGGTGCTGCTGTCTGTGTCCGTCGGGGATTGTTAGAGTGGCATTTCCTTTTTCATTTTTAAAAAGTTCCTCTCCCTAGTGATGAATTAGAGATGACCCATCTGGGCAGGAGGAGGCCAGCGTGAGGCTTACGCTGCATAGGTTTGTGGGTAATCTCGAGGCCTCCTTCTTCTGGAACAGGTTTTGAGAATTTCACCATCAAATTACTTTCTCATTATTATTCAAGAGAGTAGAAGTACAGCTTCCGTGTCTGTCCATTTTATTCTTACAGTGTGATAAGATATTGTGAATTAGGTTAACCCAGAATGAAGCACTGTACGTGACCACTGTCACACTTGAGCTTTTTAGACTTTTGAATTGGATTGTGGAGATAGAATGTCATTTTTTGGGGGGTAATGAATTAGAAATTGTCCGAGAATTACTCTTTCTTAGCTGTCCATTTCTTCTCAGAACAAGGAATCAGAATTCGGGACATTGTTTGATAAAGGAAAATAATTGCAAAAGACCGTCAAATCAGTGCTTTATTACTGAGGAGTGCAATTTTCTAGCCAATTCTATCTAATGAAAGTGGACTGTGCATTTTAAAGCTATAATTAAGGTGTGTGTGTGTGTGTGTTGTATAAATGTCTTCAGAACTTCTTTTATGAGCTTTTTGTGGTTTGCTTTGGTCCATCATTGACTAACTTCTGCCTAGTTAGAGAAATTCCTCATGTAATGGAGTTATCTAATGTCAAGTTAACATTGGAGTTTAGTTTTGAAAGTGAAAAACGCAGGAGGAGTGCAGGGGCAAAACCAGCAGAGTGCACCTGAAGAAGTTCATTTTTTAATGTGGTACTGATTTGGTAACACTAGTTTAGTGTCAAATTCTCACTATTAACTAGTTGCTTATAAACATGCATATTACTAGGTTATTGGCTGTTTATTAGTACTTATAAAACGCATATTATTGCCTTGTTCTACATGACCTTATTCTTCATCCCTTAATCCCAATAACTAAACTTAACAACTACCTTATTAATTATTAACAAACAGTAATTAAGAGTTTATTGAGGCAAAGGTCATAGTTAATATTTAGCTAATAGTGAGAATTGGACTCTAATCTTAAGTGTGACCACATATTTTAGATATGCTGTATTAGAAATAAATCGTCATCTCCTAATATGTGCAAGCTTTCTCCATGGATCTGTCATTTCCGGAGTGTTTGAATATCTGCAATACATCACTAAAACATTCCCTGTAAAAACTATATTAACAGATGCTTTTAAATTGTTGATGATAAATAAAGCATGCAAATTAACTCATTTTAAAATGTTTGTCAGATGTTGATATTGAATGCAATGTTTTCTAGAGCACTCTCAACATGCATGTTTATGTTTACTCAAATGGTAAACCTTCTGTTGAAAAAAAGATTTTTTACGTTTTGTAAAGGAAATGTGAGATTTTTTAACCATGCATGACTTGCTACTAATATGGCTGTCAGGGCATTGCCATATGTTTGTTAGTGTTATAGGCGGTTGCTAGGGTTGTATGACTGGTTGTTAGGTGGTTGCTTACTGTCCCAAGTCAAAATAGCCCAACCACAAGTCTTTATGATGTTCTGGTCCCTAGATATAAGTCAAACATTTAGTAAAATTTTGAGTAAAATGCATCAATCTGGTGCACCCTGAATGCAATATTAAGAGCTCAGACCTCTTTCAGTGACCAAACTGAACAGAATAAAAATGACTTTGCACTGACATGTAGCTGTTTTTTTAAATATACTGTAAAATAAAATAATAACACACATTTTACTTAACCCTAAAGTAGTAAAACTACAGTACTTATGTCTTAATTTCTTCATTTGTAAGTGCTAAACCTTCAAGATCTGCTAGTGGAAAGCTGGAGAGAGACCTAGACAACAGGAGTGAAATGCTTCACATTATAAATTTGGTGGACTTCCATAAACTTCTCTCCACAAAAAAATTAAAACTATACAAATAAGAACATAAAATGTAACTGGGAATGATTCCTAAATGCAGATTAAACTTCATACAGATGAAGTTTGCGGTGTTCACTGTTCGCTCTGAGACTCTGAAAACATTGGATCTGCTCGTGTGTAAAAGAACACAGTGCCTCGCTTCGCTCTGAAACACATCAGGCTTTATATATATTTTCTTAAATATCAACCTTTTATGGTTTGATAAGTGCACTAAGCTTTATTGCATTTTTGATTGACTCTTTTATGTTATTATTTGTGATGTCAATCGCGATTAATCGCATTAATGTCACAGTTAACTCACGATTAATCGCAATTAATCACACAATGCTCTTATCAACATTGAAAAGTGAATCGGCTTGCTTTGTGCAAATGTTTTTTATTGAAAACAACATTGACAATACTGTGTTCAATTTCACACTAACATTCTCACCTGGAGCAAATAATCTCTCACACAATGTAACAC